CGGGTTGTCGTTCCCGTCGGCCACCTCCACCGACACGCTGGCGGTGGCCCAGAGCGAAGGCGAGCCCCCGTCCCGCGCTGTCACCACCACGGTGTAGTCAGAAATGCTCTCTCTGTCCAGGGCGCTGTCCAGCACCAGCGAGTAGTAATTCTTGTAGGTGGACACCAGTTTGAAGGGGACGTTTGGAGTCAGGGAGCAGGTCACCTGCCCGTTGGCCCCTGAGTCTCGGTCGGACACGCTAATCAGGGCGACGACGGTACCCAATGGAGCGTCCTCTTTGACAGGCAGAAAAAGAGAGTTTATGGTCATCGTTGGAGTATTATCATTCACATCCACGAGTTTCACTATTACTTTGCAGTGTCCTGTTAATGGGAATGTACTCCTATCCACAGCATCGATGCCAATTTCATATATGTTACGATCTTCGTAGTCAAGCTCTCCCTTAACTTTTATTTCACCATTATAAGAATTGAGTATAAACTTAGATTTTACATAGTCAAAAACAAGCTTACTAAAGAAATACGCTATTTCCTTATTGATGCCCTCATCTGCGTCTGAGGCGTTCAGTTTAATAACTAATGTCCCATTCGGTGTATTTTCCAACAATCTTACATTATAAATAGATTTATCAAATTCAGGGGCATTGTCATTCGCATCCAATACACGGATCAATAACTGAACTGTACCTGTTAGTTCCGGTTTTCCTCCATCAATTGCAGTTAGAAATAAAGAATGTTCTTGGGTGTCTTCTCTATCTAATGAGCTCTTCAAAACTAACTCTAAAAAGTTCGATTCTTCTTCATTCGTTTTAACATCTAAGTCAAAATACTCGTTAGGACTGAGCTTGTATCTCAGTTCTGCGTTTGCTCCGATATCCAAATCAGATGCGCCCTCTAGCGGAAACCGCGAGTCTGGCATTCTTGACTCTAAAATAAATAATCTCTGTTCTTGTCGGGAGAACACCGGCGGGTTGTCGTTAATGTCCTTCACCTCCACGTCCACATGGAAAACCTGCAGCGGCCGCTCCACGATCACCTCCAGGTGGATGCTACACTCCGCGCTCCTCCCGCACAGCTCCTCCCGGTCGATCCGAGAATTCACAAACAAAATGCCATTCTGCAGATTTACCTCCAGAAGGTCCGCGCGGCCCTTGGACGCCACCCGGAACAGGCGGGGCACCAGGTCCTCCAGCTCCAGCCCCAGGTCCTGCGCGATGCGGCCCACGAAGGTGCCGTGTTTGGCCTCCTCCAGGACCGAGTAGTGGAGCTGGCCGCCCCCCTCCTCCCAGGCTGCCAGGAGCAGAAGCCAGAACAGCAGACGCCGGATTCCCGGATTTCCTTTCTGGGAATATACCATCGCAATCTCGGTCCAGTTCTCAAACCTCTACTGCACACAACTGTTGGAAATTTAATTCCCAATTTACTATACACTTTTAAAATTATTATTTGCTCACCTTTTTGCTCTGTTGCAAAGCCAACAATGGAAGGTCCTTTTCCTGCTGTCTAAGGAAAATGTACTCATTGATGAGGAGGAAAAGGAACTTCACGGTGTCCAGCGACATCAAGTGGATGAAAGGGTAAGTGCTTTAGTTTGTTTTTCTTTTTTTTACCTTATCTTCATCAAAAATTTCCCAGTTTCAATGACGAACTTGACACGAATCTTTATATCCATGATCTCTAATCAAAATGTCATTTGAATCTAAATTAAAGATGCATCAGTATAAATACATCGTTAAAGTATCGCGGAATCAATACATCTGGATTCATGGCACCCCAGCCCTTACTAGGGTAATTTGTATTAATCCATTTTATTTAGCGAGGCATACATGTAGTACCAAACTAATGAAAATAATTTTAATTAAGTTTTCAAATTTCCCTTCTTCCTCTAATATATTTTATTAAAATTCTTGAGTTTTCCTACATTATTTTGATGGTGTGTTGGTATATTACCTCTGTTACACAATAGATTTTTATTCTAATTTGTTAATATTGACATTTTGTTGATGTTATTCTCAAAGTAACCGAAACTATTTGAATAACATCCATGCCTGAGTTCCTTTTTACAAGCCTAATTTTCAGATTGATGAGAATCTGTTTCTTAGATTTCTATATAATACCTATTTTGAGTTCTCAATAACTGTAATGTGGAGATTTCAATGTTGTAGAAGTCAAAATCATAATAAAATAACTTCGGTAAGTATCTTGACACTGTTTTTAAAATTACAGGAATCTGGATAACACTTCTTTGCATGCTATTATACGTGTATGAATTGTGAAATCACACGTCTTGTGTTTGTCCAGCAAGTCAAAATCCTAACCTTTTCTGTAAGATGTAGTTTCTCAAAATGTTTCACTTCCAGCAAAAATAATCATGTCAAAAACAATATCACTTTATTAAGTAGGCTACTTCTATATGGTTTTACTACTTTTTAATACCCTAGCTGTTTTGCTACATGGTATTCATTGGCCTTGACTTAATACAGTGGATTTCACTTAATAAATATGACCAAAAGAAGATGTCACAAAGTTTTCTACTGAAGAAATAGTTAACGCTCTGCTTACACATATACTCCATAGAATTCCTTAACTATTACAAAATCTCTCTGATCTTTGAAGACAAGAGGTGTCAAACGATCAATGATTCTATTACTGGATACACTTACAATTAAAACATAGCTTTAAATAGGTAAGAAATAACCAGAATATGCAAAGTCAACCGAAATACATTTGATTTCAAATATTTAAACTTGTAATATTCAAAAATAAGATATTGCCACATAATTTGTTTTTGATATAATTTTTGTAATTGTCAGAGGGTGCATGTGCTCACCAAGGAGAGACAGAGAAAAAGGGAGGAGAGGGAGAAAGCACCACCCAATGGGGCAAGGTCACATCTCAATTCATTCTCCTCCGTTTCTCCAACCTGTTGAGATTTCGGGCACACACATGTGCACCTGGTGTGCTTTTTTTCAAACTGACAGATCCAGGATCTCAACTACAGTTTGGCCACGTGGAATCTAGCTCCTTTAACCACCAAGTCATGAGGTCATCCTTATATAATCTTTTCTTTAAGGTTGCATAGGTTATATATATAGAGAGAGAGAGAAAGAGAGAGACAGAGAGAGAGAGAACTCTTTAAAAGAATTATTTATTTAATTAAGTGTGAAAAATTCACCAGAGAGAGACAGAGTGAGGGAAAGCGAGAAAGCAAGCCATCAGGTCTGGAACTTGAGCCACCATGTGCAAATCCAGTGCCTTCACCACACCAGTTAAATTCAGTTCTTACTATTTTTATTACTTTTTCCTAACATTTGGATCACTCAAAATCTAATCAATTTTCCAGACTACTTGCATAATAGTTATTCATAGTGGCTATTTAAATGTACAATGGTTATATTTTTTAAAAGAAAATACAGCATAAATGATGGCAGAAAGTCATACAAAAGCCATGTAGATATTCTTTGAAAACAGTAAATATTAAATATTTAAAACCTAAACTGACAGTATAAACAATGTATGCCCTGTAATTTATGAGCTACCTGGTTAATTTAGAATATTTAAAAAGATATACTCAATGGGGAAAGGTGATCAAGATCAATAGTGTCAGCTGACATGTTTCTCTCTCACTCTGGAAAAAAATACCTCTTGTAGCTACATAGACATTTCAGGGGAAAATAAGACTCTTGACATTTGTCTCATCTTCAGATCTGTTAAATAATATTTACTTTTAAAAAGAATTATTTATTTTATTTATTATTATAATTTTAAAAAATGTATCTGAGAGAGAGAGAAGGAAAGTGAGAAAGCAAGTTGCCAGGTCTGGAATCTCGGCCATGTGGGAGCCTAGCACCTTAACCACCACACCACCAGCCAGCCTCTATATTTACTTCGTAATTGCCACCGTATTTCTCTTTCAGTGATAATTCTTATTTTGAAGGTTGCTTTCTCAGTAATTACGTATTCTCTAATCTGAATACTACGGGAGACTCCACGGGAAGATAAATTTTCTTTAAATTTTCTTCCAAACCACTCTTTCAATGAAACATTACAAATTACCTTTTTGACTAATCTTGATTGAATAGTTAGTTATGCTCTTCTCTTTCAAAAATCAGTCATTTAAGCACCATTGTATAAAAAGAAGTCCTTATCTAAGAATGAATTTAGATTGAGAAAATCATGCAATGTTTTAAGGTGTCTCCACTTAATTTACTAAAAGCATTTAGTAATACACTAACAGAAGAAATTTTAATTGGCATAAGTGTATAGATTTTCTTTATTTCCAAGAAAAATTCATAGTGAAAAAAATTAAGACAGGTTTCTTCGCTATAAGGCATGCGTCCTCACCGGAGAGAGGGAGATAAAAAGCAAGAAACCACCTCCCCAGGGAAGTTGGCCATACCACAGTCCTTTCTCCTCCATTCTCCTCTCAGGATTTTTTTTTATTTATTTATTTTTTAAATTTGCTATAGGTCATGTGTGCATGAGAGAGAGAGAGAAAGAAAGAGAGAGAGAAATCAGGGCACCAGGTCCAGGACTCAAACCGCAGTCGGCCGGCCATGTGGGAGTCCAGAACCCTTAACCATGCCACTTGCCGGTTCCCCTCCTCTCAGGATTTTGGGCATGCACATGCACGTGCCCTGCAAGAGTTTCAAGCTACCACATCAGAACTTGAACCATGGTTGACTGTGGGAGTCCAGCAATGTAACCATTACACCATCTGCTGGTCCCCAGAATAAAATTTTAATAAGCTTTAGTTCTCTTTTCCTACCTGTAGAAAATCATATGTCTACTGGATTGCAGAGAAGTAAAAGGAAAGGATGTTGTACCTATTTTAAAAGTTTATGGGAGGGACCAGCGGGTGGCATGGTGGTTAAGGCACTGGACACTCCCACATGGTTTACCACAGTTCAAGTCCTGGACCTGGTGGCTTGCTTTCTCACTTCCTCTCTCTCTCTCTCTCTCTCTCTCTCTCTCTCTTTTTTTCTCTCTCTGTTTCTCTCTGGTCAAATTAAAATAAATGGATGAATAAATAAAATTAAATAAATCATTATTTTTAAAAAATCATGGGAGACCAGCACCATGACCGGCAGATGGCATAATGGTTATATCGTTGGAGTCCCACATAGGCAATTGCAGTTTGAGTCCCAACCCAGTGACTTTTAAAACTCACGCAGGACACGTGTACATGCACAGCCAAGATGTGTAGAGGAGAATGAAGGAGAAGAGATTGTGGTGTGGCCATCCACCCCCCAGAGTGATTTCTTGCTTTCTCTCTCTCTCTCTGTCTCTCTGGCGAGCACACATGCCCTACAGCAAAAATCTCTCACACACACAAAAAGTTCATGGAACATGCACATTATGAAAAAAGAAAAAAACCCTATGTATGGATTTCAATTTTTTGCACCAAAATAAATTCATAATTTAATTCCGTTTTTCTGTGCATCTTTGAAGTGCCATCATACTACTCAAGCACATTCAGAGCATTTGCCAGGATAGATCACATATTAGGTCACAAAATAAGCCTGAACAAATTTAAGATTAGGCATGTGTGCCTGAGCGCCCACACTCCTGACAAGAGAATGGAGGAGAGGGGATTGTGGCATGGCCTGGGGAGTGATACTTCACTTTCCCTCACTCTCTGTCTCTCTGTCTCCTCTCCAGCGAGTGCAAGTGCCCTATGGCAAGCTCCCCAAAAGAAAGCACTAGAAAAAGGAAAAACAGGGCCAAAACAGAGGGAGAGAAATAATAAAGACCACAGCAGAAATAAATGAAACAGAGAAGAGAAAAAAACATTAGAAAAAAACAGTGATAAGTAATTTTAAAGAGAATTCTGAAGAGTTGACTATCACTAATAATAAGATAGTGAAACCAAATTTATTAGAAACTACACTTAATAGATTACGCATTACATAATGAAGCATAAAAATGCTATGATTTCCTATAAATTACAAAATAGTCTGATAACAAGGGTATCGGGGAAAAAAGATATTTAAATCAAGGAAATGTGTTCTTGAATAATAAAATGATAAAGAAAGCATAGAGCAAAACAACATGAAATTTAGATTACATAAAATAATATTAAAAACTAACCTTCGGAAAGGAATCCCCAGTGGTCTGTCCTTGATCTTCTCTGTCTCGAGAGTCAGGTAAACTGGGGCTGAAGGCCATGAGGTCGGTCTTGGGAGGGCCCTCCCCAGAGCACACCCTCTGACTCCTCCTCTGCTGAGAGTAAGACCAGCTCCCCACCGCGCTGGAGCACACCAGCGTCGGCTTCCCAGGCCCGCAAGCGCCCTCTGGGGGCGGCGCCGAGCACCGCAGCGCCGTGTACAGCAGCAGCGTGAGCACCAGCAGGCTGGACACCGCGCAGATGGCGATGATCAGGTACACGTTCACGTCCACCAGGGTCGACTCGGGGCCAGCAGCGCCCACCATCGCCCGCGAAGAGGCCTTAGGCGCCTGGCCGCTGTCCACCAGAGACACCAGCACCGTGGGCGGGGCCGT